AGTTGATATTGCTTTAGGATTATATGTTAGATTACATTTAAAACCAGACTTTAATAAAGCCTCATTATATAGAGGAACAGCCTGTTGAAATATTTCTTTGGTAGAAGAATTTGTAGATAATCTAAGTTCAACCGAATGTGGTATTTGTTTTAGTATACTTGGAGGGTGATTTGAATCAGCATGGATATAATTTAATATATTATCAGGTTTGAGATAAGGTTTAAAGGTGCACTCACTAAGATTTAGAGTGACGTCGAGGTAGTTGACAATTTTCATGTTGCATTGTATAGAAATCCGTAAGCCATTGTATTTAAATATTTCGGAAAGATGCTTTTTTATTTTTTCCATTTGAGGGCTGCTTTTATTCCTAAAAACTGCTAATCCATCATCACGGTATAAACCAACCTCAAACTTGTTATAAAATTTTGAAATTTCGAAAAGAAGAAATATTCCTACAAGCTCACAAACCTCCGCGCCGTCAAAAGCTCCCATGGAAACATCAAATAAACCACTTGATTGCTTTATCCAAACCTGATCCACTAGTGATTCATCTCCTAACGAAAAATCCTACATCGGTGTAAGTGAGACTTCTTTTAAATTGAGATACGCTAACCACGTTAAATCTTTTAACATCCCAAAATACAAAAATGATACTGAGCTGTCAAAACAGGTATGGAAAATAAAAGAAGCCAATTTAGTTCCTATAGTTAAGTGGAAAATTCTCAGGCGATGTAAAGCATATAATCCTACATCCAAATCTTGTAAATTATGTCTCACCGAAAAATATGAAATCCTAAATTATAAAAATACCAATCTACTAAATAAAAGGAGTGAGATTGTTTCTAAGTGCAGACATAGAAACAGATTCCTCCTTTCTCAATTTGACACTGGCGATTAGAAAATATGTTTTTTCCATAATATTATTATTATTGTTAATATTATTGCTATTATTATTATTATTATTATTATTTTTATTATTGTTATTATTATATTATATATTATTATTATTGTTATTATAATCATTATTATTTTTGCTATTATTTGTATTATAATTATTTGACGTCAGAACTCATTCCATTGTTTTTTTTGAATTTTGTAACGGTTTTTTAATTGTATTTTTGAACGGTTTTTTCTTGATTTAAATATATGGCTGATGAGTGCCGAAAACGGCATGAAACTTTAAGTACCGTAAAAAAGTTGTTTTTTCTCATCTAACCTTTTATTTATTTATTTATTGATCTATTTTGTGATTATTTCACTTTATATTGATCACTCTCAAATCGAAAAAGAGTTGATTATTATCAAATAATCAAAACAACAATATATATATATATATATATATATATATATATATATATATATATATATATATATATATATATATATATATATATATATATATATATATATATATATACTCTTGCATGTCTCTTGCATGGCATCAAAAAAAGTTTCCCATAAACTGTAGTTTTAAAGAGCGCGTTAATAAACCAGACCAGAAAAAGTTTTAAAAATTAACTTTTTTTTTTTTAATTGATAGACTGCCTGGCCAAACCAAACCCTCAGTCGATGTAGCAGCACTCTCTTGCGAGTCAGGCTATTTGTCAGTCGTTGTAGCAGCACTTTCTTGCGAGTCAGGCTATTTGTCAGTCGATGTAGCAGCATTCCGTTGCGAGTCAGGCTATTTGTCAGTCGATGTAGCAGCACTCTATTGCGAGTCAGGCTATTTGTCAGTCAATGTAGCAGCACTCCGTTGCGAGTCAGGCTATAAGATAGTCGATGTACCAACATTTACGCATGTTTTAAAAATGTTTTTTATTAAATCAATAACAAAAACACCACTAATTAAAAAAAACTTTCTAGTCGTTATAATTGCGGTTTTTTAAAAATTTTTTAAAAAACAATTAAATTTAATGTACTTTGTAACTATGTACTATGTACTATGTACTTTGTAACTATGTACTATTGTAACTATGTACTATGTAACAATTAAATTTAATGTACATAAATTAATTGCTTTGACATTTCGATGACAATCAAAAACAGCTTAAGAGACGAGGTAATTAAAATTGTAGTCGAAAGAGACTTTTTTTACATTAAACGACTCTTTCGACTACACTATAAGGATATATATATATATATATATATATTATATATATATATATAAGGTTGGGGGCCATTTTTATTAGATTATCTGACGTCAACATTTAAGTCTTATTTTGTATTTTCTCATGCTCTTTTTAATGTTATCTTTTTAATGGTTTGTTTTTATTATAGAGACTTTCTTTGTAATGATTTTTATTTATTATACCTGATGACCCTGATCACAATAGATCAGTCCAACAATATATATTAAAATAAAAACAAAAATACACTTTTTCAAAAAAGTTTATATGCAGCCATTTTATCGTATAACAAGAAAATGACTTTCAAAGATTTTATATATATATATATATATATATATATATATATATATATATATATATATATATATATATATATATATATATATATATATATATATATATATATAAAATTACAACATACTAATGACACAGTATAGTTAATATTTTGTTCTAATCACACATAAATTGGGTAATAACATGCACAAACCATCCATAACATGGTTAATGCAATGCACTAAAATACAGCTGATGAAATAATAAAGTTAAATTATTTATTAAAAACAAAGAATTTAAAAATTTGCCAAAAAAAAGCTTATAACTATATTTTTGTTTAATTATGTAATAGTAACAAAAAACAAAAAATATGAAATTTCTTACATCTCCATCCACATCAAGGAAAACAGTGCCTAAATGTTTGATTATAAATTAAAAACAACCATGTCTTATTTTCAACAAAACTATTTTCTATTATTTTACTGAGTTAAAAACTGAGAAAAAGATATGGTTAAGACTAAAAGACTAAAAGTCATGGAAAAAATTTAAAAGTTTTACGAAAAGTAGTTTTAGGAAAAGAAGTTCTACGAAAAGTAGTTATTGGAAAAATTCAAATTAAGAAAAACATATAAAACAATAAAAAAAAAAGATAAGAAAATCTTTTTTTAATAATTTTTATCAAAACATTTAGTAAATATGAGACAAGGTGGCTTAAACTTCTTTTATATATATAAATATATACGTGCGAATTCATGACATACACTATATATACATTCATGCCTTAACCGTGAAGACTCTACTTGTTTAACTGCTAAGTGATAAAAATTATTCCTAGTTTACTTAACATACAATTTTCTCTGCAACTTTTTTAATTATAAAGAACAAACCAAAAATAAAATGAGTTTTGTAATTGATAAAAACTAGCTTACATACTTCTTTTGATAGAATCCTTATAAAGTTTTCCACATTTGAGAGAATCCTTTTTTAGTTTGAATACTTCAATCACTTTACACGCTATTATGAAATTTCAACAGAACATTTTTGCTCCAAAGGTTGCTAGTAACAATTATTCATTTGTATGCATCATAATACATACTAGCTTACTTTGTTAATTATCAATCTTATAATAATGTATGGAAAAAAGAAATTATTCTAAATATAACAACATTCCAGGATTTTTTTAGTTTTTTTTGAATTAAAATAGTTTAGCAGTAACTTAGTGATTGTTTAAAAAAGTCAATGCCCAAAAATACAAAAAGCAAATTAAAAAAAATTAATGGTGTCACAAATCATACTAAACTTATGTGTTAGACATTTTCATTTATTGCAAGGCCTGCATTTCCATTTATTTATTTTTTTCCCTGCTTTTTTTTTCCCCCTTTGTTTTTAAGTAAAAATTTGCAAAAACCTAAACAAAATAAATAAAAACAATGTTTTTGAGTTTTATCCAATTTTATATTATACATTCCAATAATATATATTCCAATATTTACTTAATATATGTGCAACCATAATAAAATTAATATCTTTATTAGTTTAAAAAAAAAAAAAAAGTAAAGCGTAGTGTTAAGTAAAAAAAAAAAAAAAAAATGCATAAAGAATTGGTAAAGAGTAAACCAACTTCAATTAAATACATGAAAACAATATAAAGTGTTGTACAAAAAAAACAAGCAGCATCTCACCTACAAAGTCTTTTGAACCTATTGCACCTACCAAATATCGATGACCGATTTCAGTCTATAAAAAATTAAAAATCAATGAAAATAAATAATTTACCAAGTTATATTAACAAATGTTTTAAGGAAGAACTTGATTAGGTTTTTTTTTAATGCTATAAATAAGCTTAGAGAAAAATGTTTATTTTTATATTTTGTAATTTTTTTTAATTATATTTATATATCATTTATTTATTCTTTTTTAACTTTTCTGTTAAAGGAGCATTTGTTAATAAGAAACGTTGAAAACTTTAAAATAATAATTTAGAAAATAAAAATTTTTTTGACTAAAGTTGCTTTTTTTAGGCTTTTATTAATTTATTTTATAAAATTTTATTATAAAAGAATGAATTCAAGAACTAAAAATAATGAAGATTTGTATCTACCTTTATATTTTCCATGCAGTTAGCATGTAGTTATTTAAAAATAATGTTTTGTTTTTGTATTTAATGAGTTATTGAGAAGTTGCACTTTGATTGCATTTTGTTTTATTAATTTAATGATTTTTTTGATGATTTTTAATTTTCACCATCCTCCAGAACGATTTTAATTTTCACCATCCTCCAGAACGATTTTAGCAGGTCTGATCTAGCAAAAGTAAAAACTGTAAAACATGCCGACAATTTACTGATTCAAAATTTTTTCACCATTTCTTCAATTTACTCTTTATAAATCTATTGCTTATTTTCTGAATTTATATTCATTTACTTTATACAATTTATACTATATACTATATACAATTTATACTATAATTTATACTTATATAGACTGGTAATAATAGAGATGTTGTTAATAAAAGTATCCAACAGAATTTTGATAGAAAGCTTTTAATTGCTGCTTTGTTTTTTAATAAGAAAATTTGCAATCTTTTACTATGTTCTCTTACCTTTTTGCATTAAATTGTTATACTTAAAGTGGAAATATTTTTTGTTGTTTATGTAACCTTGTTGATTTATTCTATAATTTGGACTGTAGTCATTTTGTTATTTTTTATATTTTATCTTTTCTCATGTCTTATATTTTATTTTAGTCTCATGTTTTATAAAATACATATACAACCATATACAACATTTAGTTAGCTTCAGTCCAATCATATACAACATTCAGTTAGCTTCAGTACAATCATATACAACATTCAGTTAGCTTTAGTCCAATCATATACAACATTCAGTTAGCTCCAGTCCAATCATATACAACATTCAGTTAGCTTAAGCATAATTTTTAATATTTAATAATAAATAAATTTTTTACATAATAATAACATAATAATAAAAGAATTTTTTTTTTTTTTTTAACTTTTGGTTTTTTTTAAAATTGGCAAACATTCATTACCAGTAAGTTTTTAAAAAAATTTCATACAAATGATGTTATAAAATTTATTGCTATTATTTTTCATTTCTTAAGTTCTATTTATTTATTTTTTTGTCTAGTGTTGAAATATGGTTTAAGTTTAGTAAATTTTCATAGGTTGTAATTTACTTATCAACAGCAGGTACAACAGCATCAACAACAGGTATATTGATTTGTAGTGTTTATATGCAATTTATTAATACCTTTTATATTTACACATCATAATTTTTTATCTTGTTTTAGATTTGTCTAACAATCTTTTTATAGTATAGAACAAATAAAGGGCCTAAATCACATAGGATGTGGTCCTAAAATGGGGGCCAAGACTCCACTTTTTTTATTGAGGAAGTGACCCACTAAGAAGGCAAAATGAGTGGGGAGATAGTCGTGGTAAACATTTAACTACATTCGCAATTAGAAATTTTGTAGTTTGTTAATATACTAATTGTAGATGTAATTAAATGTTTTTTTGTTATAATATATATATATATATATATATATATATATATATATATATATATATATATATATATATATATATATATATATATATATATATACAACATGTTTTATTTTTTTATATATATATAGTAATTATGAATAATCTAAATTTGTTCTGATAAATATTTTGCTAAAAAAACATTTTTTGTTCTTTTTATAAAAATTTTTACATTTTGCTTGTAAATAAACTTTGTTAAAAGATATACTATGTTCCTTTTTCTTAACAATTTATGCTTCGATAATTGTTAACTAACTTTGTTAAAAAGATATATTTTGTACCTATTTCTTAACAACTATAGTTTCATTAATTGTAAATAATTTTGTTCGAAAGATATATATTTTGTTCTTTTTCCTAAACGATTTATATTTTGCTAATTGTAAATAAATATATATACTAATATAAATAAATATACTTTTATTTTGCATTTTATTTTTTTGGCAAAAGCTCCTCTTGACGTAAAATCTTGATTACTTTTAATTGAAATATCTTTCTCACCTGCTGATTTAACATAAGATAAAGGGAGTCTTAATGGAAGGGTTAAAAAAATTTTGTAACCTTTAATTTTGAAAAACACAAGGAAAGTGTCATTATGTTTACATAATCAATCAAGTAAATCTGCGCATCTAATATAATTAAGAAACGATTAACTTTCCTAAAGTAAGGAAATGTTACATTCAAACTTTTTCTTTCAACAAAAAATAAATAGCATAAGAGTGCTAATAAGCTTCAAGTGTACAGAAAAGAACAGAAAGGTTAATACTTACTCTCCCTGTTTATTATTTAAAGTTTACAATAAGAAATTTTAAAGTATGAAAAAATCATTAACTCAAAGCCAAATGAATTTTAAACTTAAATGAATTATCATTTACTAAAAAATATTAAAGTAAAGAGACCATATAAAAAATATTGAAAGAAGCGTGGAACAGACCATAAGCTGTATTTTATGAGTCCAGACAACAAGCTATTATAATAATGCTGGAGATTAGTTGTAGAAAACTTGGCCCACAATCAAGAAGTTTGAGGTTCAAATCTACCCTAAGCCTCTGGAAGTTCTGTTATTATTAACTATTTCAACTGATAGCTAATGGTTAATGACCAATAGTTTTCTGTTAAATAAGCATTGTCTGTTAAAAAAGTAAGTACAAACTATTTACTATTTTGTGATAGTATTATTATAGTCATATAATTTTTGTTATGTACATCATAGTTTTTTTGTATTTTGTTTTAAGTTTTGACTATTTTTAACCAAGTCATCTCAGAAATAACACTCCAAAGTTATTCAAGTGTTTTATTTATAACACCTTGCAAAATAAATATTTCCTATTTTAAAAAAGAAAGATTTTAATGTAGCACATACAGGAACATTTTAGGAGTTATTGCTTATTATTAATGGAAACCTCTTAGCTTATTTAGAAAGATATTAGATATTTTATTAATTGATATGTAAGTGTATACAATCTTTAAAACTTATGGAAAAAATAAATAATGCCATAATTTTCTACTCAAACAATCTATGTATGATTAAGGTATTTAAAAAATGTATAACAAAAATTTATTTCACAATTCATTTGACTATAAAACAAAAAAACTAAAAAGTGATAACCAAATTCAATAGCATGAATTTCAACAATGATTTATTTGTTGTAATGTGATAAACTGTTTTTTATAACTATGTGGTCAAAAAAACACTAAAGCACTTTTTAAAGCACTCTTTGGTAACTAATAATGATTTGCAAAACTATATGTAGAAATTTCTACAAACTAATAATATAAAGCATATAATCAATTTTTTGTGGCAAATCAAACTAATTAGCTTCAAATCATGGTGTAATCATCAATTTGATAAAATAAAATTGGATAAAACGTAACAATATCTGACCTCGTCTATTGCTTTAAGACCAATCCCAGCTTGACACCATCCATACACTTGATGATTAAGGTTTGAACTTTTTTCTTCTAAAATTTTATTTTGTATAATATTAATAGTTAATACAGTAAAATATAGAATATACAATATAGTATTAATAACTTTATTGAGTCACAGTAAAACAAGACAAAGTGGTGGAAACTTTATTTACAACTTATTTACATGAGTTTGTTGGGAGAAGTTTGGTCACAAGAAAAAAAATTTTAAGAATTTGTTTATAATGATATCATAATTTTAATTTTAATAAATTCATTATTCTTTTTATATCAATTTATAAGGTTTAAATATATTTTTACAAAATATGAACATTTTGAAATATTCTTAAAAAACGGATTTTGAATGTAAGGCATCAATAAAAAAAGTTTTTTTATGCTTTTCATGGTTGCTGTATAATTAAACAATAATATTTTGTAAAATGCTTTTTAACTTAAATATTTCTAATTATGTTTTTGCATTAATCTTTTAAGTTTGATTTATACAATTATATTAAAATATAAAAGGCTGGTAGGGGGAGGGAATTACTTTTCAACATCTAATTTCAATTTAATAATAACTAAAAACTTTAAAGTGACAAAAAAAAGTGACAAAAAAAAAGCCTATTTTCAAAATCTTGAAATCTGTATAATTATTTTTTACAAGACACGCATAACACAATTTAATTCTAATGTGGCTTGCGATCAAATGCACATTTTTGAACAACTGTTTTGTTATAACTTACTAGCACTTAATATGCTTATATAAGTTTAATTCTAATGCAAGGAATAACACAAAACTTCATTTTTGATAAATCAATATTAAGAGACTTTTTTTATAAGCAGATAATTTTTAAAGCCTGATTACACTGAAAGTTTTTATTTTCATTGGTTTTACATTCATTTGCATGTTTTACATTCATTTGAAAGTTTTTATTTTCATCACACAAATTATGTTGTATTTCTGAATGTTCTTAGTAATAGTTTTCAATAATATTGTTTTTAATTATGTCTCTAAAACTATTATCTCATTTGTCTTCATCATCAGAATCTCCCTATAATCATACTTAATACAACTACTTCAAAGCTGACTATGACTCTTTCCATGGGTTTCATTATGATGGCCTTCGGGTATAAACCTTTCATCTTCCTGCTGACAAATATGCTTCTTAGATAACTTCTTAAATTCAGGCTGGCATGGAATCTTTTATTCCTTCTCAACAACTTTAAGTAAAGCCTCACTCTTGTCCATGGCTTCCCTCTCATTGTGCTGCTGAAATTTCTAATTAGAACCATTACTTACATATCTATCATCAAAACAATTCTCCAGAAAACAGGTGTCTTTTTATTATTGCTAAAAACTATTGTAAAAAGGTTTTGTCTAACGACGAAGTTCGCTATTCTCAGATCACAGTATCTCGTACTTCATCTCCAGGTTGCTAAGACATTTGGAGAATCTTTAGGTGTCTATAATAAAGGCAAATCTGTTATTCCACTCTCTTGCATGGTTCTGAACTATTTGCTAAGAACCTTTCATCAATCTTATCTCTTGATTTCACTGATCACATCCTACCTGATATAGCCAACAAATAGGTTGATCCATTGCTTGACATTGGTATCACTCCAGCTTCTTTATCTAAAGTAATTTCCTGCTTAGACTCTACTAATGCTTACGGTCTGAACAAACCTGTTAGAGCCTTGCAGTGTTCTTCAGAACTGTCGTCTATACTTTTAAAACTATTTAACAAGTGCTTATCAGAGTTTGTTTTCCAGCCTGCTAGAAAGTGGCATCTGTTATCTCTATTTTCAAAAATTCAAGAGAGCAACCTCACTCGTCTAACTACCATCCCATTAGTCTTCTTCCTATCATAAACAAGGTTTTTGAGTCTTTAATTAACAAAAATTTAATCTTGAATCTAATAGCTTACTTTCTAATCATCAATATGGATTTCTATCTTCTTGTTCTACTGATAATTTGTTAACGGTAATAACTGATAGGTTTTATCTTGCATTATATAGATGTGGAGAGGTTAAGGCTATTGGTCTCAACATTTCTAAAGCTTTTGATAAAGTTTGGCATGCTGGTCTTCTCCATAAGCTCCCTTCTTACGGTGTATAAGGTAACATCTTTGAGATTATTGAATCCTTCCTTACCAATTGTAGTATAAAGGTTGTCCTCGATGGACAGTACTCTACTTCATTTCCTGTAACTTCAGGGATTCCTTAAGGTTCTTTCCTTTTTTTAATTCATGTTAATGATCTCCCAGAAATTTTCACGCCCATTGTAAGCTGATAATACTATAATTTATTCTTGTCTCAATAACAAGCCAACACTCTCTAATTGCTTCGAGGGAGCATTTGCAATAATCTAAATCTTCCTATATTTATGAACAGTAATGTACTCAATGAATCAACTACTCTTCATCTCCTACGATTAACTCTAATTTCTGATTTTTCTTGGAAACCATATCTCAAACCCATTGTTAGCATATGTTAAGGTTGCATTTCATTATCATGCTTGCTAATTCCTTACTCCAGATTTTTGTCTTTACCTCTATAAATCTCTAATCCGTGCTTGTATGGAATACTGTTGCCATATCTGGAACAGATCTTCGAATGATGCCCTTTCTCTTTTAGACAAGGTGCAAAATGATAACATTGCTTCTCTTCCTCTTTTCTATAAATACTATAATGGGCGCAGCTCTAAAGAGCTAGAGTCTCTTGAGCCACCTACTAAAATTCATTCTCATGTTATTTGCCATTCAATTAAGTCTCATCTATTTACTGTGACTGTTCCAAAGTGCTCCAAAAAATCTTTTTTATCAAGTTTTTTTCCTTGAACATGAGTTCTGTGAAATTTGCTCCATCTTTGAAATTTACTCCATCATTGAAATTTGCTCCATCTTGAAATTTGCTTCATCTTGTTTTCTTGATTCATATAACTTGCAATCTTTCAAGTTGTCTGCTAATCATTATCTTGCTTTATAAACTTCATCTTTTCTCTTTCAGTAACTTCTAACCCTAATAGTGGTCGCATTCAGCCTTGTTGGAAGTGAAGATTTTTGAAAAAAATATGAACTTATAATTTATATGTTTCTTTTATGTTGTTTTTATGTTTTACAAGTGGTGTTACTTGGCAACATGTAGAACAAGATTATTATGCAAATCGAGCGGTGTCACTAAGTTTAGTGGCAAGCGGTGTAAATGTCCTGTATTTTTTTCTATGGTAGACACTTTAGAACTAAGACTAAGTATGTATTTTATAATAGTATCTAAATATTAATACCACAATTGGTTAAGTTACATCTTTTTTTTTCAAAGTTATAAATTTTTATTTTTTTAGTTAGCCCATCAGTATCATCAATCAAAGAAGATATTATTTTTTTATATTTTAATTGAATTACAACTTTATCTACTTCTACTTACTACATCTACTTTTCACTATACTCTTCTTTTTATTTCTAAAATTTTTATGATATCATGAGTAATAATTTTAAGATCATTATAAATATTTTTTAAAGAATTATTATAGTTTTAATCTTTGTCACTACCTATTTTTTTTCTTCATAAAACTATTTATATTAGTAAATAACTTTTTTATGTAAATTTAAACATCTAGTTAAACTTATTTTTTTTTAGATGATTTTATCATTAAGTTATTAGTTTGCTACTGTTAAAACATGGTTTTAAAATATGGTTTTATTTTAAAACATGGTTTTATTTTAAAACATGGTTTTATTTTAAAACATGGTTTTATTTTAGTAAACTTATAATTATATGATCTGAAATTTACTGTATTAATCATTAGTCAGCAGTTAGAAAGAAACCAGAATTCTAGATTGAGGTAAAAATAATTTTGTCTACTACATTACAAAATCAGTTTTATGTTTTTTTTTTTGTAACTATTTAGTAACTACTTTTTTTGACTTAAAAATGCTACCAGCCTCATTCTATTGTTCCCAACCTGTCTCACTCTATTGCTGCCAGCCTGTCTCACTCTATTGCTGCCAGCCTGTCTCACTCTATCGCTGCCAGCCTGTCTCGCTCTATTACTGCCAACCTGTTTCACTCTATTGCTGCCAGCCTGTCTCACTCTATTGAGATTTTATTAATAAAGCGACAAATTAATGGAACCTTCTTTGATAAGTTATTTATTTTTTTCAACTTTTATTGATTTAATAAATGATTTTGTCTCTAACCTAAAAATGAACAGAAGTAAATAGATTATAATAAATGTGTATTTTATCATAATTTTCAGATAATATATCAAGTTAAATTCTTTTTGGTTACTTGCTGCTAATTTATATAATATTTAGTGTAATTTATAATGATATGTAGCATAATTTACAATGATATACAGTGTAATTTATAATGATATATATAGTATAGTTTAGAAGACAAACCTTCATTCCTTTTTCGACACGGATCAACCTCTCCAATTGGTGAAAAGTCACTACCAATAGTCCAACATTTTCCTTCTAATAACCTGTAGTTACCATTGAGGTGATTTATATACCTATGTGCACAACCCTAGACAAGAAAATTCTACAATTTAAAATAGTAATTCTAAACCTTAAATAATAATTCCAAAAATAATCTTATTGAATATTATTTAGACAATTTATTAACAATTTATTAATTTTTATTATATTTATTAACTTATTGATTAATTTATTAATTTATTTAGTTGTTAAATAGAGTCATGTTAAAGAAAGACTTTAGGAAGAGCTGTTTTTTTTTTATAGTTTTATATTTCTATGAACTGTGATTGACCTATTTCTTTATTTATTATATATATATATTTTTTATCAAATAATTTTTGATAAGAGACTGAGTATATTTTGGACAAAATTAAAAAAAAACTATAATATAATAAATCAGGATAATCAATTAATTACTATTTAAACTGTTTTATCAATATTTTAAATTTTTTATCTAGATTTTAATAAACATTAATTCTATAATGTAAATTATAGATTAAAGAAAAATGATTTCAAGGACTTGAAAATATTTTTGAAAATATATGTCTTATGTCTAAATAATCACCCTGCAATTGGAGAGAAATTATATAGAAACTTTTGAATAACAAAGAAATAATGATTTAGTAATGGTTTCACTTTGAAGAACTGGTTTTATTAATTTGTCAAAGCTTCTTTTAAACTTTCAATTTTTGAATTTTCTACATAGTTTCTGCTTTTTTTGCTGCTACAAGCACCTTTATTTTTGGGGTACCAGTACAGTGGTACCCCAGTTCTATGGTACCAGTAGTTTCATAGATGTAGCTTTATGTCACTTGCAAATATTAGCATTTGATATTTATGGAGCTGCTTTCAAAAGTATATAAATTTGTTGTGGGATAACCACTACAAAGATCTACCTTGGAAAGGTGGATAGAAAAAAAATTAAGTTTATAAATAATTACAATTCAATGTACTTTCCTGAGAGTGCCAGGGTAAACTTTTTCTCTAATCTTTTTTTTTGTTTAACTATTATTGTTGGGTTTGGTAAAGTGTTGTAAAATAATTTTTAAATTGAAACTAACTTTTAAACATAATTATTTTATAAAAACAAATTTAACCTAAATTATAATATATGAATACAAGAAGGGTAGAGAAGACATAAGAAGGGTAGAGGGGTGAGTAAAAACCATTAAAATATTTCCTCGACTAAAATATCTTTCTTTTTTTTTTCAAAATTTCAAAAATTTACTAATATATTAAAAAAAAAAAAATTTTTAATTAAAAGGATATTACACTTTTAAACAGACTGTTAAAAAACTTAAATTTTTGACATTAAAAAAGAGCTCTTGATAAATTTAAGAGTTTACAAAAAAACACTAATGCAATAAATGCAATTAAATGTTTAACTTTAAAAATATCATGACTTTTTTTTTTTGATGTTAACTCACCTTCCCAAGGCCATTACTGCAAGAAGAGTACTTTAATTGTGGTTACTTAATTTATGGGGTAATTCCATATCAAATGAATCAGAAATTTTGAAAAATGCCACTCTTAATCTCAATATTTGAACCACCCATTTGAACCAACCATTTCAGACAATATTTGAACCAACCATTTCAGATTTTGAAACTATATCTCAGATTTTGCTTATTTTTATACAGTTGAGAGTACTTCAAAATTCAAAATCTTTTTGTAGCATCCAGCTACAAAAAGATCCTGAAATTTTTAGCTATATTGGCCTGGCCCTCTTTTATCCCCTCAGAACTGCAATGTTTGTTTAGAGGTTTCACAAAACTTAAAAAGTATCTGGTTTTTTTACTTAAAAATTTGTACTTGGTTATTTTTAGGAGCAACAAATCCAATGAAATGATCAAAAATATAAAAAATTATTAAGTACCTGTATATTTGTCAATTAAAATAAATTTAGGCAATATTTTACATACTTTATACTGATGCTTAACAAACCCATGTGGCCTTGATGATTAAAAAAAAAAGCAAGTGAAGATGCTAACACAACAGGTATTTTTTATTTTTATGGTATTTAAAGTTCGCAAACTAATAGGCAAACTAACATCAATACATTGGAACTTGGTGAGTTTATTCTATGTAAAATAATTTTTATTGAATAGGTATGATAAATGAAATTTATCATATTGTTATCTTTTTATGATGATGGCAGATTATTAAAACTTTGTCATCTGTTAAAGATGTTATGGCAATGTTTATGCACCCGCACAGCCTTTTTAACAAACCTTTTTGGCTATCTAGAGCAGATGTTGAGTTTCAGTTATCAACACAATATGTATCATTGATGCACCTGAAACAACAACTAGACATATGTATACTTTGATTGTTGACTCATTTAAGCGAATCTTAAACAACCTTTACTCTTTATTTTATTTATTTTATTATTTTTTGTAAATAATTAAATAAAACAGAACAAGTATAAACCAAAAAAATATTTAGTAATATACGCCGCAATCTACAGACTTGATAAATTATTCACATTTTATGCCTAAGAGTTTTAGTATATGATGTCATTGATTTTTTTGTTTGTTTACAAAATCAATCTTTTACACAAATAAAAAATCAATAGCGTTATGTACTAAAATTTTAGAAATAAGACACGCTTGAATAAATTATCAAGTGTGTACTTCAACTAAAATAAAAAAGTTAGTTTTTCTTGGTATGCATTTATTCTATTATTTTATTCAAAAAAAATTTAGCCCAAACTTTTTTTATCCATTCTCTTTAATATGAACACATGTCTCGGATGTTTGGGATTCCTTTAATAACAATTTTTTATATTTCTGATCATTTTATTGGATTTGTCACCCCTGAAAATAGCCAGGCACAAATTTTTAAGTAAAAAGATCAAACATCTTTTAAGTTTTGTGACTTGAAACCTCTAAATAAACACCGCAATTCTGAGGGAACAAGAAGGGCCTGGCCAATATGGCTAAAAGTAAAATGGTCATGTTTCAGAATCTTTTTGTAGCTGGAGGCTAAAATTTTGAAGGAATTATTATTTTACTAAGTACTCTCAACTGTATAAAAATCAGCAAATTTGATATATATGGTGACATGGTCTGGATCAATTGACTTGGAAATATGCAGTCTTAAAATTTTTTGATGTAATTATTCTTGCATCTGTATACAATAAACATGTTGCAATTGATATCAATTCAACCTCATATTTTTTTTCTTCTAATCTCATGTTGTTGAATATTTCACATAATTCAGAGTTAGCAGTTTAAATAGTTAACTAAGATTTCATGTTTTAAAGCATCTTTAATTAATTCCAAAACCAATCATCTTTTTACACTAGAATCATCTTTCTGAAGTTGTATGTTTGCATAATGGATAGAAAACATTTACAATACAAATTAAAAAAAAAACTGCCATAAATTAAAACCCTAGCAATAGTTAGCCCTCAGAACTAGGAAAAATGAGGTCGGCAATATTTTGCCAACCTTAATCTTTTAGAGGTCAGCATCAGGTTGGCAAAAAAAATACAAATGTTTTACCATAAAAGATAGAAACAATTTGTTGATGACCTTAAACACTTCAAGGTTGGCAGTTAGATCGGCATTGCCAAACGCCAACCCTAATTCTGAGGGCTGAACAGTACAATAAGGAAATTCTTTCTTTAATCATAAGAAGAATTAAGTCAGAAATATTTTTTAAAAATAGTAAACTACAGTCTCTATTACTATTCTCTGAAATAAATAATTCAGTTTTGACATCATAAAAATCTAATAGTGAATTATGCAACTCCTCAATCTAAGTTGATATATTAGGTTCTAACATTGTCTTCCCTATGATTTATAAGAAACTTTTGCAATGTAATTTTGACTTGTTTTTATACAAGTTTAGAGTATTTAAGACTTCCATTAAAAAGATAACTTTTTAAGGAGTACTTTGCTATATTTATTATCAAGTGTGCCAACAACAACAAGAAGCTTTTTACTTTTGTCTTATACTTTCTTTTTCTTTTTTGGCGTGTGTATTGACATAAATGCAAACTGTCATAAATGTGAAGTACAAATTCTTTTAATGAAAGCTTTAGTGTTATTGCTCACTAGATGCAATAACACTAAAACTATTTTATTAAAGGACATTTAATTGATAGAAAATGTGGTTTATTAGGCATTAAAATGTTACCTTACTGTTGAGTATTAAATTTTAACCACAATTCTTTAAGATATTTTTAATCATTTGCATTATGGACATCAATAACTTAAGAATAACATTTTTTTTTTTCAAAGTAATAAATGATTTTCTTATACAATCTTTAAAATCATATTTATTATTCAAGATAAAAGTTTTTGATATTCCACGAATATTCAGTATCTTCAAAATACAATTAACAACTGCTCAATATAAAATCAATTTAAATTTAACCAGTTTAGCAACTAGAACTGCTAATTTTCCTTCACCAAAGTAATTTAGATCGCTTTAATGACCTTTTAATAAAAAGAATTAAAAAAGGTTTATTTAGATCTGACAAACTATTGAGTTGATCTAATGAATTAAGTTATTAAATTCAAATGAGTTGATCAAAAACTTTAAGTTTTCTTTAAGTGAAAAAAAAAAAAAAATGCAGTCATTAGCTTATAAAAACAAAAAACTTTATTTTCTAATTGATACTTTGTCATTATAATATTATATACTTATTAATTCTAATTATAATATTGCAGTACGGCCAGATTACACAATCTTTAGAGAGTACGTACGGCCAGATTAAAAATCTTTAAAATAATAGAAAACATCTAAATAGACATAATATACATCAAAACATTTGGGGTAAGGGAATTAATTTCTGACCACTCTAAAAATTAATTTTTTTGACCACTCTGACTGATGCACTATACTGTTTTTAGGGTCAACTTTTCACATCCTATATCATCAAAATATAGATTTATGGGGCTGGTAAATCCATTCCTGAAATGTTATTTAACCACTGAGGGGCATGCTTATAGACAATTACAAGATTTTTAACTAACTGGTAAGTTAGTTAAAAATCATAGATAAGAACAAGCACAACAACTGATATGATTACATTTTTAATGTTTAAAAAAATACTTATTCTAACTATGATTGGCTGTCCGATTCCATAAGTGTCCAATGAGACTCCAAGCCACTGACCAGCTTTTGTTTCTTGGCCATTGTTATCTAAAATTAAAAAGTTTTAAAAACATTTTGTCAATCTTTAAAATCTATAAAACGTTTTAGGAAGCACAAAATAAAAATAAAAATAAACTTTGGTTTACTAAAATATTTTATTAACTTGAAAATATTATTTCAATTCATTTTCAAAAATAACATGTTATTTACTAGCAAAATTTAATGCTCAATATAAACAACAAACTTTAAAAAATAAAACCTCTAAAAGGACATAATGTAAATAAAGGTGAGAGGCTAAATAAGTGTTTAATAAGTGTGAACTAGCATAAGTGTAAATTGGCATAAATACAAATCCTATGCTGATTTTTTTGGCACACTTATACCAGTTTTTGCTAACTTTTTCGGCGTACATACACCAGTTCACACATATGCCAATTTATACTTCACACTTATGACAGTTTTCACTTATGCCAATACACACTAACTTTCAGTGCACTATGGCAGTTTGCACTTATAACAGTTTTTGCAACTGCTTTGCACCACTTATGCCAGGTTGTACTTATGCAGATTAGCAATAATGACACCCCAATAAAGGATATTAATTTTTGAATAAACCTTGATGTTATTAATAACATTAAAGGTAATAAGTTAAAGCATCATGCTCAATTAACTTTTATACTCAATTAAGTTATGCTTTTATACAGATATACTTTATAAATTATAAATAACAAAAATTATTTTTTGATTAAGAACATAATTAAAAATTTTAATTTTATATTTAAAACAAATCATTTCATTATACTTATTTTTTTTTAAATAAAAAAATATACTTACTCATTATAAAAATAGGGAAATTTATAACACGCTCCGTTAAATCGAGTGCACAACAATGACAGAATTTAGAAAACCATCAAAATAGTATTTTACTCTGTAAGAAGAAGAAACTCGGTCGCCTTTAACTTATAATGCACGAGGCATTGTAGATGTGCACGTGGTAAGTATTTGAAATTCTTATTTAACTTTCATAAATCTCTGAAATATCTTTGAATATCTTCTTTTATCATAAATATTATAATTATTAAATATATTTTTATTTATAAATAGTATTAATATTTTGTAATTTTTTAATCTGTTTTTAAAGTTACTAAAATTTAATTTTTTAATGTTTTAGTTAATGAAACATGTTCTGTTTTGTAGGTAATGTATTGAAATTGTACCTCAACAAGCTGTTAATTTTATATAAGCTAAAGATGACCTTATTTTAGATATAAGTAAGGTGATATTTATTTTTTAGTGTTTTTGTTTTATTTAGATATTCAATCATGTTTTATATGAATCTGATTATTTTTTTTTTTTTTTTTTTTTTTTTTTTTTTATTTCACCTCCTCAAGGCCGAGAAGGCCACTACAGACGAGGAGGCTACTTATTTAAGGTTATAACCCTCTCTCAACTCTATAACTCCGAAACACGAACTTTGACGAGCAAGGCCGCTGCGCGGAGAAACGAGTTGAGCGCGGTACTACCAGGGACATGGTGGGGATCGAACTCGGAACCACTCGTTTATGAAGCGAGCGCTCTACCACTACACCACTACCGCATATTTAGAATAGTGTTATTGTCTGGTGGTGATATTTAGGTTTATATTTATAAAGTTAAATTTACTTTAAAAGAATCTTCTAATTTACTTCTTAAAAGATTTTTTTTTTTTTTTTAAGTTTCTAATTTAACAATTTTTTTTTTGTACAAAAATGTTTAAAAATGGAAAACAATATTTTAATTGTTATTTTAATTTTATTGCCATAGCTTTTCGCATATTGTAGGTTTTAAATTCTAATTTATCTTTATCTTCAGTTTTAAAGTTTGAATTTATCATAATGTAATGTAATTATCATAAGGGCTGTTTAAATAAAATGTGTTTGATTTTCTAAGTAGATGTGATGTTGTAGTTTGTATTTTTCTGTCAATGCCAACGACACAGATTTCAAAGTGGAGGGACACAATTGTCAATTTCTAAAAAAAAAGTCCTCTATATCTAGAATAGGCAATAACATTTCCCACAATTTATTAAAGGGAAGGAACTATTTTACTAAATTCCTTTTATTTTTTATTTTATTTTTTGTTTGTTTTTATAACTTTACCTTTATTATCTCATGATGGTAGAGTTATTTTTACTGCAGAATATCCAAAGTAAACAGAGCTCAAACCTTAATTATGCAGTGTCGTTAGATTCTTTCATTTCTACCAAACCTATTACTTCAAAACGACCTGCTACTATTGAAAATACCCAGGCATCAACACCATCATCTTCAAAGCAGATACAATTGTCTCTCCCTTCTCTTTCATTAGCCTGTGACCGCCATGAGTTAGAACTTCAACAGCCTCTACAATAGGTAATTTGTTTGCTATATGCATACGAGCTTCCACAACGCCATTTGTTTACAGAGTTAGATGGTCCAACATCTGGTCCTAGATGCTATTCAGGCTTAATTGGAAAGTTCCTTGAAACTTGTGAGGTCTTAAAAGTTGTTGATTTTCAACCTACAAACCAAAAACCATATTGAAGAAATCCAAGAGATGGACAGAAAAGTGCTCAGTACAGATCAACTTTATCTTTTTGACATCTGCCAAGCAGTATTAAGTTGTATTTGTTCTACAAACCTGGAGAAGCGCAGCCCTGGGAAACTGGCTTATTCTAGGTGGCTCACCACTGCCAATAGGATCCTCAGAATATATGTTTCTACCAACAATCCCTCATCAAATTTGGTAATTTTACCGACATTCATTATGAGAGTTTATGCCCCTATGTGGTTCATCATCAAGAAAGAGTCTTCTATCTTTTATGGCAGCAGGCATCTGTACAGCACAATTGCAAAATCACTATATATGCGAGCTCCATTACGTAAAGTAGTAGACAAAGTAATTCAAACAAATGTATTTGGTCCTTTGGTAATCAAGGGAATATTCTTCTGGTAATGGTATCAGATGATCAGCCACATATCCGAGAATTAGGTGTTAGGCGTATACAGAGAGCTAGAAAAGAAAGAATTATGAAAACTAACCAATCAAGTACGCGTCAGTTCAAAGTTCCTAATCTGAATTTGATGGCAAATAATACGTGGGAGTTGATTGATTGGAGTAATTTGCAGCTGTTGAAGCCACCATTAACAATGCAGCTCACTGACGAGCAGCTGGAGGAGAAAGACCATTGCATTCTACTATCTGATCTTTTAGATAAGTTACCATGTCACATGCAAGCAGTGTAAAGATGGTGACAGAAGTTTCCGCATCAGTTTGTAGCGAGATAAATAGAGATGGTATGATATATTGTCTGTCTACAATCTAGGAAGAATATGCCAATATTTAATACCAAGGCACATTATAACACCAATTAGTACAATTTTTGCTCTATAAATGTAAATATTTTGTATTATATGCACCTGTTCAATTCTAAAACTCTCTTGAAATAACCTGTTTATAAACTAATATAAATCCATTTGAAAGAAATGATACTAATAATAATTATTACTTAAATTAATAAATATTAAATCAGTGGCAGATCCAGCATTTTTTGTTGTTAAAGATAGGTAACTTCCAGACATAGAGCAAACTTGAAACATTCATATGTTTATACTTACAGCAAATTGGGATGCTTTGCAAAAAATTGCACTGATTGGGGCCCAGAACAAAAATGCCCCAAACAAATTATCCCCCTACCCTAAATTTGAGGGCAACTAGTTTGCAACATATTTTTATTTTTAATCTCTGTAGTAAAGGATAAACCTTATGTTATTTTCGAAATAGGTAATTTATTTAATTCATGCATTTTAAAATACAACTCAAGTCCTTTGTCAATTGTATTTAAAGTATACTAATCTGTAATTTTTAAATTAGAAAACGATGATGACTCTAGAAGACGTTGCTCTTTTCAAAGGTTAAACTCTTGATAAAGTTAGTGTTTCCAAAATCCTTGCATCTCACACGATCAACTCTATGCTACATGATAAAGAACAAGGTCATTTAATACCTTATTTTAACGAAGTTAAAAAAAAATCTGTTTGCTTTTATAACCAGATCGTTTAATCGTTTGTTTTTGCAAGTTGTTAAACATTTATTACGAGGTATGTCATTAAACAAATATTACAAAAATAAGGTTGTATTTGCAAAGTTTCTAATTTTTCTTATTTATATATTTATTTGTATTTTTGTGTTATTTATTATGTGTTTATATGTGTTAAGGTTATATGGGTTTATATTTTGTAAGTGTAAGTAATTATCTTTTATATATGAGTGTTTCTATATTTGTGATATAATGTTATTTGTTTAAAGTTTGTAAGTGGTTATTATGCTGTTTGCAGGTATTCAAATTGTTGTGATTTGGCTTCTTTTATAGCAAGAGTGTTGACCTTGCTAGCCAGGCGGTGTACTTTGCTATAATGTGACTTGGTTTTGTTCAGAGCAAGATTGTTTTCCATGCCAGTTAAGTGATGTGCTGTCATAATGAAACACAAAATAAATCTGTTTGTAGTTAGTGTAGTCATAAAAAGTATTGAAAAAATATTGTTGAAAGATTGTGTTTTTAAGAAATGTTGAAAAGATATATAGTTTTTAATATCTATAATTTTTTTAATACTTATAATTTAATTTTTATTGAAATTTTTTTTTTTTATAAAAACAAAAAATTTTTTAATTATGTGTTACATAAAGCTTTTTGAGTAAATTTGTTTAAAAGATACATACTCTATTCTTTGTTTAAACAATTTATGCTTTTTGTGATAAATTTTATCAAAAAACTTCATTTTATAAAAAACTGGCTTTCATTTTATAAATCGCTCCTCCCCATTAAAACATTTAAGAGTCTTTATTTCCTTCATTAAATATGTTTAACTTATATTTATTGTTTATTTGTTATAAAGGTGTACAAAGTGTTACATAAGTTTTAGTAACTTTCATTAAATTTTTAGGATTTTTCGTATAGAATTATTTTCGTATAGAAATGTTTCCTCCATAATAATATTTTAATGTTTTATATATTGACCAATTTTCTTTGG